GTGCGCTGACATTCAAAATGCCTTCAATTTTTTGAGCACTATATGGACATCCGTCGAGGTTGTATAGTTGTATCAAGGCGCCGTTGTCAGCGCGTCCTAGTCTTCTTGTTACGGACGAGTAAAATCGGTGCGAAAAGAGCCGAAATGCCTTCAGTTTTCTACGTTCCGATGACCAAAAAGAGGGACCACGTATCTCCGTTTGCGACGTTGCAGATTACTTGTCAAAATCCATTTTTTCTTCGAATTACTAGTCAACGTAAAATGTTTCTCCGTGATTTTTCATCTCTGTTAGCAGAGTATCTGGCATACAAATTAAGTTGTAACGTTCGATTGCTTCCCATCGAAATAATAAAATAGGAGCGGAAATTTTGAAACACCGCAGTGTAGATACGTGATACTGTACTATGACTATCAAGATGCGATACGAACATCCGTAAAGCTTGAATAGGCATCAAGGCGATATCTTGTCACCAACGCGTCCGTTAATCAAGCGCTGGAGTCAGTGGAACTAACTCGGAGCGGAAATTTTGAAACACCGCAATGGAGATACGTGGTTTCGCACTTCAGTCGGTGCGATACGGACACCTATCAAGTTCAAATGGTTGCATCAAGTCCCCGTCACCGCCGACGAACGCGTCTGTCGATCGAATCAACTACAGGTAGTATGAGCAGGGAGTCAAAACGCCTGCAATTTTTTGAACGCAATACGGACATCCGTCGAGGTTGTATAGTTGTATCAAGGCGCCGTAGCATACACGTCCCATTGTTTATCGTTACAGACGAATGTAAGTTTTGAGAGGAAAGTCATAATGCCTTCAATTTTATACATATATATTTTTGGGCAAAATGAGAGACGACGTTTCTCCATTTACGACGTTGCAGACTTCCTTAGAAATTTTATTTTTCTTTCCAAAAGCTAATCAACATAAAATTTAAATTCTCCATGATTTTTCGTATGCGATAGCAGAAGATTTGGTTCAAAATCTAGACTCGAAAATTAGCATTATTTCTCATGAAATGAGAACGGAAATTTTGAAACACCGCAATGGAGATACGTGGTTTCGCATTTCAGTCGGTGCGATAAGGTGAGATTTGAACTTTTGAGCAAAATAAATGCAAGGTGGAAAGCCCCAAGCTTTGGCTTCTTAGTTGCCAGGTGGGAAGCCCCTGGTTTTGGCTCCTCAGTGATCAGGCGGGCAGTCCCCGGCTTGGCTCCTTGGTTGTGAAGTAGGCAGCTCCCGGTTATCGGATCATTGGTTGCGAGGTAGGCAGCAACCGGCTATGCCTGCTAAGCAGCCAGTTGGGCAGCCCTCGGCTTTGGCGTCTTAGTGGCCACGTGGGCGGCCCCCGGCTTTGGCTTCATAGTGGCCAGGTGGGCGGCCCCCGGCTTTGGCTTCTTAGTGGCCAGGTGGGCGACCCCCGGCTTTGACTTCATAGTGGGCAGGTGCGCAACCCCCCTATTGACTTCTCAGTGGCTTCTCTGACCCTCTCAGAGGCGGGGTTCACCCACCTGGCCACTAAGAAGCCAATGCTGGGGGCCGCCCACCTGGCCACTAAGTAGCCAAAGCCGGGGGCCGCCCCCCTGGCCCCTAAGGAGCCAAAGCCGGGGGTTGCCCACCTGGCAACGTAGGAGCCAAAGCCGGGGGCCGCCCCCCTGGCCCCTAAGAAGCCAAAGTCGGGGGCCGCCCCCTTGGCCCCTAAGGAGCCAAAGCCGGGGGCTAACTACCTGGGACTGTTCAAAAGTATTTTTAATAGGATAAAGAGAACTGCTCGATAAAAGAAATGGCGTCATCAGGATTTTGACCTGTTTACCAATGTTAATTGCAAATAATTCTGTTTCTGTTTCAGAGGTATCTTCCAGACTTTCCTTAATGCGATTTTTTAATTATATTTTGAAGAGAAAATAGTTGTTTAGTCCCCGAATTCTAACCTTTTCCTAAGGCTTATTGCAGTGTCAATGTAATTATTTGATGGTAAAATAATGTGCTTCCACTGCACGCAAGCGCATAACTCGTCGGAAGTGGCGAAAGTTGGCCAGATTCGGGCGAACGGGATAGTGATAGCGTATTTTCAATTTTGGGGCTTCGGGGAGGAAACGCCGCGTCGAGAAGTCATAAATATCCTGCATGGGCTCATAGTGCAAACTTAATATTAAAAATCCTGCTTACTCCATCTGTTGCTCCCTACGAGCCGGGCCGGGACAATATGTTTGTCATGCTCTGCCTGCGTATCTCAATCTCCAGCCGGCGAATTAATATTATTTTCGCGTCTTCGTCGCAGCGCGACTGGCGCGACGCTTTTTATTTGTCTTCTGGTTCTCTGGTTCTCTTGCGACTTGCGACTCAGAAGAATCGTATGATTAGTGGACAAGATAATTTTACACATGAAGCGATGATCCAAAGGCAATATATTTTAGAGACCTTCCGCTAACAGATCGAGCAATTTAAGCGGGTGAATCAAAAGATGGATTCCTAGGTACATTTTCGTTGAATGATGGTAAATGATTAACTTCGAAAATCGGTTAAGACGAATTGCCGCTTAAGTCGAATAGTTTTTTCGGTCTCTACACAATTCGACTTAGCGAGCTGTCACTGAAATCGTTAAACCCTGAACTTGTGTGGTTGTCCATTGCTCAGCATTTTACAGTGAGGGACTACAATTTCCAGCTCATTTTAGGAACAAAGTATGTGCCTATGTGCCATTGGTGCCCGTATGCAGAAGCAGATAAGTGCTTTCAAAAATGAACCAGATTTTGTAGTTCTGAATTACAAAATGAAGTCCAAATATTCTGTCTCTTCCTGCAGAGTTGATATCTGAGATTAGTATCACTACACGGAAAAAAATTAAATGTTGATTTGGCATTTATATTGTTAAAAATATGTCCGACAAATTTCAAATGCTGATTTTACATTTGGAGAGATGCTAACTTAACCACGCTCACTGTAAAACGAACAAATTCAAATGTTGTGTTAGCATTCTTGTGTTGTAAAATCAGCATTTGAAATTTGACGGGCTTTTTTTTAACAATTTAAATGCTAAATCAGCATTTAATTTTTTTCCGTGTATAATTGTGCACTCGCCGACGTTTTTAACTTTAATTTCTTATTTAATCACAGAACCATCCGAAAGAGAACCCCCGCAATCCCGCCAAAGGAAGTCCTTGTCTGTATTTCTCCATGACGCAAAATTGAAAATCATTAAAACCATCGAGCAGGAACCCGGGGAATCGTTAAAGCGAGTAGAACTTTGAAAATATCGCCGATAACCGCAAATCAAATTACGGCAGCGGAATTTTTTTATTGTTTCAGCCGCAGTGTGCTTTTTTCCGGACATCAAAGCGTCCCGGAGATGGATTTGCGTTTATTTGATTAATCGTCAATTATTTCGAAAGCGCGCCCGTGGATTTCCTCAAAGTAAGATCGGTGCCTACGCCTCCGCTCCGAATCCTCCACCACTATCGTAAAACGCGCCTCTTTCAAAAAGAATAAAAAATCGTCTCTCGGCTACGAAATATTATTGATGAGCAAAAGAAGGGACAAAGTTATGCGGACGATAAGGTTTATGCCGCCGTGCTAAGGAAAAACGCCGTATGAGCCTTCAGACGTTGCCATGTTTCCTTCAATCAAAGACGAATTTTCAGAGAAATTTGTGAATATTTTTCCTCTAATTTCTCAGATAATTTCATTCGCAACCAGATTTAAATCATCTGCAAATTTCATGAGAAAATCTTTATAAATATCCTAAAAATGAAATCGAAGGAAATTTGGCAACTCTCGAATGTTCGTGCGGCGTTCTTCCTTAGCACGGCAGTATGGTGAAGTGTAGTTATGTCCTCGTGTTAGGAGGTTGACGGAGTGTATATTAATGACGGAGATAAATTTCGATTTGCAAATTGCAAAAAACCAGAGCCGAACCTCTTCCACAAGTACCGTGGACGGTATATAATAACGCAGGCAATTAGCAATCGCCGGCAATTTGCAAGCCAGTGGTGAATAAATATAGAAAATCACATAATTCAAAAATAAAAGAACAAGATTAGAATGCTGATTATGTTGCCTATGATATGAATAGCTCCTTTGCATCCTTAAAAACATGGCAGAAATATGCACACTCAGGAGAGCGTGCAGTGAAATCCGTGACATTAGTCGGGTTGAGATTGGACAGGCAACGAAACTAACATCGTGACAAGGCGTAGAGTATCACGAAAAACGAAGGCGCTTCAAGCCGAGCTCACATTTTTGAAGACCATAACCCTCAAAAATTGCATCATGCCGATGCGCATTATTGCGATACATTGAAACAACGTGTGAACCGCTTTCAAATTGCCAGCGATTGCTAATGGAGATGTTGCATGTGTGAGGGATTTGCGATTTAACCATTAATTCTTATGTAAAAGTTTGCGAGAAACACGTAGTAAAGTGGCAACCCAGCTAATGTATTTGCTCCCTATCTTTGCATGGAGAGTTTGTTTTGATGTAGAGGTGGACTCTCTACTCAGGGTAGGGTGGGATATCCCCTCCATTTTGGCCTCACTTTGAGAGCTTTTTTTGAGCTTGGGAGATGATTTCAGATACAACCAGTGGCACCATCGTGTTTCTCGCGAACTTTTACATAAGAATCAATGGTCAAATCGCAAATCCCTCACACATGCAACATCTCCATTGCCTACGACATTGCAGAATTCAGCATCATAAAACCCGAGTCTATGACAAGCGCAACTGACCTATTCTTCGGGAAAATACACGTAACCTGTTGATAGCTAAAACCTTATCGGATCTCGATCGGGAGTTTTTTGGGCTCAATGAAGGTCCGATCATGAAATGGCTCACAACTAATTTTTGCAAAAATTCGCCTTCTGTAGTGACACTGGGCACTTTAAATTATTTCATTTTAGGTCTCCTTGCATCGCATCATTAATTAAAATCACTTTATCAGCAGAGTGATAATGGTGATGATTGTCGATTTCCTGTTCCTTACTTTGTCACACTATCAGAATTCATTTGATCTGATGGCAACGTGCATGCATTTAGGTGATGTGTTATGTTATGTCATCCATAAATGGCGCTCTTGCCGGAAATGGGTCCCGGCTAGGACTTCTTAAGCTCAGATTTGTTTTTTACAGGTTACGCCCCACCTAAATGTCGCTGTGCATAGTTTTTTTTTTTTAGTGCTCACCGCAAAAGAATAATATGTATCAGTTCTGTGCCTTTACATGGCAACACAGTTAATTTTCCCAGGTAATATTTCAGTTCCGCCGCTTGCTTGCTTTGGAATCCGCAGGTACTTACTTGCATGCATATTATTATAAAATTAATTTTCTAAAAACAATCGAGTTGCAATTGAAACTTTCAGCTCCTCTAAATTAGTACATCTTGAAAAATATTTGTGGAAAAAATTTTGTGCTGGCGACTTTTAAAAATTCGAAACTTGTACATAAAAAATCTGGTGGAAAAGTCTTCGATGATCCGATTTTAAGCACTACATCCAAAAAAAGTATCGGATCACGAGGTTAAAAAAATGGAACGTGAGTATGAACTAAAACTTAACGTATTTTCTTGTAAAAAGTAGGTACTACGTGGATTTCATTTTCTCGGTAGATTTCTCCTCTGTAAACGAGTCTCTATAGAAATTGCCTTTTACATTTTCGTCAAAAAGGCCTGAAAGTTCCTCTCAAAAAGAGACCAAAACAAGCTTGTCGATGCCAAGATAGAACACATCATTCTTCTCATGCATTTAGTGAAATAAGCGTGACAGAAAGCATCAAATAAAACTCATGGACAAGGACTGCCTTCGATTTCACTTGGATGATAATGCAACATTGAATGTGATTGTTGAAATCACAATCAAAATAAAAAGTACTGATTCGAATGGTTAATTCAACTCTTATATCCAGATAAAATCTACTTCCTTTCAATTTTAGCATCATTTCATTTGTTTTTATTTTAGGTCCATATGCAATAATTGGAATGCAGAACTTACATCGAGTCACGCCCAGGAAAAAATATGGCAACAATTTCTGAGGAAATGAACCCAACATTGGTGAACTGTCACCCTCCCTCGAATAAGACTATCTCAAATAAGAATTCAATGATGACACATTCCCAGCAAAAAATAGAATGCAGCAGCAAAGTTGCCGAAAGTATAAGAAATTCACAGTGTGTTTGCGCCCTCAGCTCAAGAAAATTTCAATCACCGAAAAGGTCAAAGCGCCACATTTCGCATAGGAAAGATCGGCCTTTTTCCTGCGATGAGTGCGCAGTGAAATTCATATCCAAAATGAATTTGAGGAAGCATGTTGAGCGCATCCATCCGGGTGCCAAAATTCCAGAGCGCCCTGTCGCTTGCGATCAGTGTTGTAGCAAATTCAAATCACGGTGCGCTTTAAAAAGTCATTTTCTTCGCATGCATTCAGACCTTCGTCCTTTCACTTGCGATCGGTGTTCGAGTAAATTTAAATCAAATTATGAGTTAAAGCGACACATCAAGCTTGCACATAATGATCTGTTGCTGGCGTGCGGTCAGTGCTCTGGGATGTTTAAATCAAATGAAGATTTACGGATACACATGCTGAGGAATCATACAAGTGAAAGAACTTTTGCTTGCAGTCAATGTTCAAAGAAATTTCATTTAAACTGTATTTTGGAGAGGCATGTCATGCGCATTCACTCAGGTTATCAACCGTTTACTTACGATTGATGTTCGAGCAGCAAAGGTGGATGACATTAAGAACAACAAACTTATTGCGACACTGGAAAAAAAAACACATTGGATCTAGAGTCCAGACTCTTGAAAACATTGACAAGAAAAATACTCTTGATTCAATCGGATTTTTGCTTGAATCAAAACGAAATCCGCTTAAATTAAGAGGCTTGGTTCTTAATTTAAGCTAGATTCTGATTGAATCAAGAGTACTTTTTCTTGTCGATGTTTTTAAGAGTCTGGACTCTAGATACAATGTGTTTTTTTTCCAGTGGATTGACGCACGAGTCGTATAGACAGTAAGTTGGAAATGTAGTCAACGTGCGTTAAATTTCAGAAAACTGAAAATCTCAATACAGAGTGAAAAATCTCATCCTAGTACAATTTTCCCTCAAGGAGATACTCTGTTTGGTGCAACACTGGCCGTCTTGAACGGGCGGCGTTACTATAGTGTTGCACCAAAAGCGTATCTCCTTGAGGGAAAATCGTGCTTGACAGAGCTTCTTCCACCTGTACCGAGACTTTCAGTTTTCTGAAATGTAACGGTGACTACATTTTCAACTTACTGCTGTATTTTGCGTGCACATTTAGCCAATTAATAGTTTATTTGTGTGTGGTTGGTGTTCGCAAGAATTTATATTTGAAGGTTTGTTGCATGGGCACATCGTGCGCCTTCATTCAAATAATAGAACATTATTAGTGATCAGTGTTCAAGCAAATATAAATCAAGCAAGAATTGGAAGATGCACATTTACATTAATTCAAATTATTTTCCTTTCGTTTGCAGTTAGTGCGTATATGCACTTTGACGGTCACATTTTACATGTATATTCAAATGATTGACTTTTTTCTAATGGTCGGTGTGTATACATATGTATTTTCAATTTAGAAATAAAATGAAGTGTATTTAGTATACAAGTTTTACTGGATTTTTTCATCTTTATTTTGTGGTTCCCCACAACAAAAGTACACTGTCAACCAAAGTTCTACTGCGAAATATTGAGTATGCAACCATTGGTGAGAAAGAACAATAGGAAAACCAATAAAAATTCGGTGTGATCCAAAAGACCCATACAACCTCTCGGTGGCGAGGCTAGATTGATCGATTATCGATATTTCCCAATTTGAAGCTGTGGTTGAGAATCGATTATTGAACAGAAAAGTATGAAGTAATTTATGGATGGTCATTTTACTGACACTCTTTGACCTGAGGCAACGTGAACGCTAGGATTGAGGAATTCGGTTTACTGAAAAGGAAGTGCTGCTTTGAGACAGATTTTCTCCGGTCACCTCAAATATCATTTGATTGGGAACAAAGCTGTTACTCTAAACGAAAGAAGCAGCTCAGGAATAAATAAAATGAATTATATTTGTTTCAAAGACCCGGCAGAATTATTTTCACTGTACTGGGCTTTGCATAAGTATTACATTTTATAACGACCATCTTTAATAGGAGCTGTCGCATTCCAGCATTTTTAAAATGCAAGAAAGCACAAATGTTGGGTTCTGAAATGAATCTAGACCAAGCCACATTGTATTGTATTGATAGTCACATTGCATTGTATTGTACGGGAGCCACATCGTATTGTATTGGTAGCCACATTGTATTGTATTGTATTGTAATGGTAGCTTGTATTGTAGTCACAGCCACTGGCGCATGCAAGAGAATAGTTGCGCGGAGAAGGAGCATCTCAACGTAAATCGGAAGGAGAAAGGGAGGAGAGAGATAGAGAGAGGAAATCACTTAAGGAGTACATGGGGGAAGGGAGAGAGGCAAAAGCCGAGAGGCGGGACGGGTAAACTTTCCCTAGCATTTTCTTTCATTAGTCCTCCAAAAAAGGGAGGGATCTTTTTTTTTAGTGCACAATTAAAGCAAACCTCTCGAAACTTGCTACAGAACTGCATCGCGATGACATAAGCCCCCGACTTTTGGATCGGAATAAATTCAAGGAGGTTGGAAAGTTTAAAGGCAGGTATTTTTGAGATTTACTTTTAGTTTTAATTAAATTTGCGTTGTGCTTTGTTCTGAATAATTGTTATTCCTCGGCCGGAGTCTCGATCTAGACTTCATTCAAGTTGATTGAGCCATGAAATTTTTCTGAAAGCCCTGAATAACCCGTTCAACGTTACGCTAAGTCCACTGTTCGAGGGGAACTTTCGTCTCTGGTTTGAACATCGTTTTCGCACAACTTAATTCAACTTTTGAATCACTCTCGACAACACACCTGACCGAGAAAACAGCTTCTTTTGTGAGTAAATGAAGGAGCTAAATCTCGGATGTAAGTGGTGAGATGGATCAAATCTCGGCGAATTTCCATTGATCGTTGAAAAAACGCACTGGGTCGCCAATATAAATACCCGACTAATTCGAGCGTTTCAATCCCTCATTAACGGTTGCGGAACAACAGTAAGCCAGTTCGATTATTTATAACAGATAGACTCTTAATTGGCCCTTAATTTCTCCTGTGCTAATGAAAAATGCAATCTAAACATGCTATAAAAATGTGAATGATTTTTTTTGTTTTTAATTTAGCCAGCTGCAGCCAAGGCCTTCAAAGTATATGCACACATAAGAATCGCTTTCACAGCGCCCTCTGGCGCACTGCGACGCCTAACCGCCACAGTCCCCGGGCCTCCCGCGGCCATTCAGGAAGTTAACTCTTCCTCATTTCATTTAAAACCCCCTGTCGCTAACTTTTCACTGACATTTTCAATAGGTGACCTTTAAAGTAAAAATTTCCTTTAAGAAAATGAAAAATCTCAATGGAAAGACATCTCAAAAAGCTGTACGGAAAACTAAGGTAATGAAAGTTTGAAGTATCGCGAAGCCTATGATTCAGGGTTTTCTTGCATTTATTTTTGTCTTATGCATAACATACAAATTGGGTTAAATTACGTTCTTTTTTCTATTTGCTTGAATCGCCAAAGATTTCTTTCATCCTAATGACGTCGTAGAACGAATGGAAAACAGACCATTTCCTCAAACCGTCCGTTAAGTCGAAACATTTCCAGACTCGGGCAAGCGAACAATAGAAAACATGAAGAAATGGAGAAGATTTAAGAGTCCAAATGGACGTACTTCTACCAAACGGAACTATGTGCATTAAGACATGAGCCCTGAGACCCATAAGAATAAATGCATACCAGGGCTCACGTCACAATACACATAGTTCCGTTTTACAGAAATGCGTCCAAATGACGTCCAAGCAAATAACAAAATGCAATGCCAAGTAAGAATACCACTAATGGCATAATGAGTGGCTGTACCAATAATTATGATCGTGAAGAGGGTAATTGTATCATTCGTTCCGTCAGTAGCCGTGCCCAGGTTGCTTCAATCCCTCAGCCCGAGAGCAGAACAAATACTCTCCTCCGAGTCTAACAATAAATTACCTCCGTCTAAATTTATTCAGAGAAATTTTGAGCTGCGGTCAAACGATGCGTTGCATTACATAAAATCATTAGTCTCTGGCGAGGTTTTGTCGGACGTAAAATATCCTCCGAGTGATGATGTCGAGATACTGTAGCTGATTCTATCCTCTTCAGATATCTTACTCCCTCGGTTGGTAGCCTAGTATTGAAATTCGTCTGTTGCACGCAAGAGATGTATACTTCAGTTGGGAAATTTCACTCGAAAATCACGTAAAGCACGTATAAAAAGTCTGAAATCCACTCCTTAGCGCGCAATTTGCGTAGTTTGTAACACGCTTTCTCCAATTTACGGCTTATTTGGACAGTTTTTTTTTTTGGTGGTCGCACTGGAAAAAACACATTGGATCCAGAGTCCAGACTCTTAAAAACATCGACAAGAAAAAATACTCTTGATTCAATCAGATTTAAGCTTAAATCAAGAACCAAGTCTCTTAATTTGGGCGGATTTCCTTTTGATTTAAGCTTAAATCTGATTGAATCAAGATTCCTTTGTCTTGTCAATGTTTTCAAAAGTCTGAACTCTAGATCCAATGTGTTTTTTTTCCAGTGCGGCAATCACATTTGCCCGGAGAGAGATCTAAACTAAATGAAGAGAGAACCTCGTGAACTGTTATATACTCTCATTGCGAAAGATTTCAATTGATTCAAAGCTTTTGTTTTTGGAAAATGAACAAATAAAAAGAGAGCAAACGCTTGAAAACGATTGAAATCATACGACAGAAATAGTTAGTGAAATTTGGCAACTGACGAGACTTCATGCGGCGTTTTTCCTTAGCACGGCAGAGCGGACCAGTAAAAAAGGTGCAAATTTTGTTGGCCAGGTTGGATAGGTGGTCACCGCGCCTGACCCTAGACTAATACTCAATCAATAGGTCCCGGGTTCGATTCCCGGTTCTGGCACCAGATTTTCGAAATACGGACGAATGCGCCTCCAGAAGCAGACTCTGAACAGAAACAGCTAAAAATATTAAGATCTGTCCAAACAGCAACTTTCTACGTTCAATAGTATCCGTGATATCGTTCCTTGAAAAGTCGAGTTTTTGACGTCATCCACCGCGGTAGTGACACCCTTCGTTTCTTCCATCTTGCCATTATCCAAGTTTCACGCTGAGTAATCGGTGCATCACTGACTATGAAAGCAAGGTGGAAGAAACCAAGGGTGTCATTACCGCGGTGGATGACGTCAAAAACTCGACTTTTCAAAGGGCGATATCTCGGCTAATATTGAACACAGAAAGCTGCTACTAATCTTCAAGAATCAAGCATCAAAACACGATTCTGTGACCACCGCAACTGACCCTTTTACATTAGCTACACTGGAAAAAAAAAACACATTGGATCTAGAGTCCAGACTCTTAAAAACATCGACAAGAAAAAGTATTCTTGATTCAATCAGAATCTAGCTTGAATCAAGAACCCAGCCTCTTAATTTAAGCGGATTTCGTTTTGATTCAAGAAAAATCCGGTTGAATCAAGAGTATTTTTTCTTGTCAATGTCCACCTGATTCCGCATTTTCTCCCAAAGATGAGCGTCCTACAAGATTCTATGTAGGCCAATTGGATTACATTTTGCAATAAGAAACCACCATCTCTGCCACTTCCATAAAAGCACCTTCCTGCATATAGAAGCCAATAGCGCATATGTTCTTCCTAAAATAAGTCAGAAATAGTGGTTCCTTTTTGCAAAATATGGTCCAATTAAGGCCGAGATTAACTGCG